TCCAGTAACAGGTATAATACAAACCGCTGCTGCTACCACCAATAACAATAATGATGATAAGGGAAATAACAAGGGGGGGGGGGGGGGGAATATAAAACTAAAAGGGGAAAAGGAAAAGAAAACAATAAACACAAGTGATGCACAATACAATTGCTCACACCTGTCAACCAATACCCAGCCCGACCCCAGCAGCTGGGCATGACGTGCTGTGGTATGGAATACCCCTTTGGCCAGTTTGGGTCAGGTGTCCTGTCTCTGCTTCCTCCCGGCTTCCCCTCCTCCCTGGCAGAGCATGAGACTGAGAAAGTCCTTGGTCAGAGTAAACATTACTGAGCAACAACTAAAACCATCGGTGTTATCAGCGTTGTTCCCAGACTGAAAGTCAAAAACACAGCTCTGCACCAGCTACTAAGGAGGAGAAAAATAACTGTTACAGCTGAACCCAGGACAGTCTGCTTCTGGTTTTCTAAGTGTTTTCCTCTTATCATTGTGTAGTACACACTGGAAATGATCAATCAAGGCTCATGCACATGATCTTTTCATGCTAGCAAGTGTAAAATCAATTTGTGTTCGAAGGAGTAAACAGTAGGATGAGCTTCACCTCCCTGGAGTCGAAATAGATTCCTTGATAAAGGAGATGACAATGAAAGCTGAGCTCTTGATGTGTAAGCACACAGGTGCTCATATGCAAGAAATCTGAGTGGTTCCTACGTTCATTTAACATGCTACATTTATTTTTCCAGTAAAATAAAGATAGGAAGAAGCAATTACTTGTTGAATGCCAAATGTGCATCAGTAAAGCCAGAGGGATTATTCGGAGTTTATCCAGTTGAGAATGTAGTCGGTCAGTTCTGGCAAGGACATTATTCGTTGTGTATTTCTGCTTTCTGACTCTACATTTGAATTTTCAGAACTGTTCTGACAGGTCTGTTGGAAGATTTTGTTGCTATCATTTCTGAGAAATGCCTGCTGTTGGATGTCAATTACAAGGGAAAAGAGACTTACAAGAGTTTTCTGTGCTACAAAAACAAAATCTGATCTCATCCAGGTTATAAATTGTCCAGGAGGTAAGAGTGGTCAAGGAACTGTTGAATGAATAAATGGAAGGTTAGATCAACATGACTCATCAGATATTATAACCATTTACCCAATGTCATTTGATCTGCATAACATTAAAGGCTACTATTCCCTTACTCTTAGATTTCTGACCTCTTTCACTCCCTTTAAAGTTTAGCACTGAGCCACCCAAGCCATACATTAAACCTTTGGTTCCACATCATTTAAGTTCTGTTCTGTTCTCTTGTGAGTCCGAAATGTGAAAAGACTCTCTTAATACTGACTTGTATTAGATGGAATATTTTGATCATCTGACCTGTCCCTTCTTTTAGCAAGCAGCATTTAAACTAAACATGAAGTGTTTTGATGCAAAAGAGCTTTGCCAGATTAAAATGAAACTGGAAGATGAGTTCCTTGTAGCATATAGCTGTTCTGAATTGTTTTTGTTTTGATTGAAGTTTTATTACCTCAAGATGTCTATCTGCAGCTTAGGTAATATTTGCTGTTCTTCAGCCTGGGATTCACGAATGCACTGCCAGCTGAGAGAAGAGCTCATAATGTGAAATGCAAGTGCGCAGTCTTATGGAAGCCAAATTTCTGGAATCTTTCCTTTTAGCTGAGTTAGACCATGCTGCTCACAAAGGAAGAAAAGCACCAAAAACGTGCACAAATGCGACCTGTGACCTCCTTTTTAGAAGGTTACTGATGAAAGCTGAAGAGGAGAGGGGTGGAGAACCACACAGTGGGTCCTAAACCACTTGATATTTATTAGATTAGGAAAGCAGTAGGATGGGATGGATGTCCCGTCTCCGCTAAACTACAGCAGGAGCATGGCATCTTATTAACGGCAGTTGTAGTAACAGTTTGTTATAGCACTAGCACTGGAGAAGGTGATTAATATTGTATCTGCTCTGTTTCATTCTGTCCTGATGAATCTGCGTGGATGCCATGGTGTGCCATGGGGGCCTGCTTGCACTTGTTAGCTGAATGCGAGTGTTCATGGGCAATTAAACTTGCAATTTTTGATTCACACTTTGAAAGGTCAGAAGGTTGCTTTCTAGTTTGGTTTTTTTTTTTCCAGGATAGACCAAGTTTCTAATAGATCTGGTCCTTTCAGTCTCTTAGAATGTGCAGCTGTAGCATGAATTGAGAAAAATGGTCTCATTTCTTTAGAAATCCATTAATAGTAATGTACTGAAAGACTCTTACATTGATCTTCTCTCTGATAGCTATGTTGTAATAATTATTCTTTTAATGTTTGCATCAATCTAAATGTTTTCCTCTTTGTGCTAGCTCCTACTTGGATCTCCCTAGATGACAATCACAGCACTTTGACATCTTGCATTAATACCAGTGATTCAAAACAAAGCAATGCCAAAGGGAACAAAAGTTCTGTCAAGCCATTAAAATCTTCTTTGCCATTAACACAATTAAAATTGATGCATAAGCATTTAAAGTTACTAGCAAGTGCTACCAGCAGGAGCTGGTTGTGATTGCATAATATATAGTGGGCTTTATTAAAGTAAAATGGTATGTTTATTGTTATTATCATCATTAGTTCTGAAGTAACATAAACTTAAAAAGGGCTGTGAATTGCAAGAGGACTGTGAAACAAGTAAAAACATGCTCTGCCCTGTATTAACAGTCAGGGACATGATTATGACAATTAAGACGTTTCTAAACAAAAGAATACACATGGTATCTTGGTTAACCATTGGAAATGGCATGTGCAGTGGTAGGGAGGGGTGTTAAATAAAGAGAGGACTGCTGTATCTCTGCAGCTCTCACTCTTCCCAGTCTTGACTCACTCGGGTGGATTTTGGGCTGCTCCTGTTACTGCTGTGAGAGGTTTTGTGGTTGGTGTGCAAACTGATGGGGGGAGTATTTGTTTTGTTTTCTTGTACTCCAACATACTAATTTTTCAATGAAAAAATTCAGAAGTGTATTAGAGACACATGTACTCCCACTATCCCACTGCACAGTGGAGTAATACTGGTGCTTGCTAATCTTAAAGTTAACTATTCTTCACTGAATGGAGAGTTGGTATGAGGTATGGAAAACAGATCAGCACAGAATTTACAAGTATTGAGAGGGAGAAAAGTGATTTAAGTGAAACGCTGGTGGATGAAGGAAGGCCAGTGAAGTACTGGAATATTAAGTTGTTCAGTAAGAGGGTGGGCTGCATGCCTATTGCAGTTAATGCTGACCATCCACTGGAAGTTCTCAAGCTATGTTAGGTAGAATTTGAGCAAAGTAGAAACTGGGGACAAAAGGTAAGGCTCTTTTTTCTGGTCAGTTGACTGTTTTAAAGTGATATTATGGAAAATTAATCTATAGCTGCTGAAGGAGATAAAAATCACTAATATCCCTGTAGTGTACTCAATATTCAGTTGAGTACTTCTTTACCAGCATATTGATGAACTGTTGGAAATTCAGAGAACAGTGATGAAATAAGCCACAGGGATAGAAAATTTGTGTCAGGAAAGAAGGTAAAAGTTCAACATACATCGTTTGAGAAAAGTGAAGTTCTGCATGTCTGTGCATGGTGTAAATACGAAGGGAAGCAATGAATAGTGGGAAGAGCTCCACAGAAAGGCTGAGGTGACACTGAAAGCAAAATTTTAACATTTATCACAAAGAAGGGCTGAATAGTTTACAGCACTGCTCCATATTTTATTAAGGGAAAGGATGGAAGACCCATTTCCCTAGTCAGACTAACGACAGTAGAAGAAGATACAGGGAAAATGTGCTACTTTAACAGAGCATGAACTTGGTGATCCAATAGGTCATTCTGGTCTTTGGCTTTTGTAGCTGTGTGGATTTATTCTTGCAGCTTACTGCTGGCTGAAATACAGGAGGAAAGCCATGGTCAGTGCTTTTGGTTAAGCTCTATAGCAGATTAGGATGACAGGGATTAAGTTTAGTCATGAGTGTCTTTTACCAAACTAGATACCAAAGGCAATACAGTGAAGTGTCAGGCAGAAAAGTCTCACTGAATATTCATGAAGTGCTTACCTGGTTTTTGGTACCTTCCTGAATATTGTTTCTTCCTCTTCTGCTGTACCCCTGTGATAAGAGCCTGTCACAACTACTTACAAGTGCTACAGACTGGTTGTACAAACGGGTCCGCCTGTTATTTATGTAATTGTTCACAGTATTTAGAGGTTTCAAGCTCTTTCATGTCCTTGGAATGAGAGATTGTGGCAAATGCTGCCACTACCATTTAAATGAGTATTTTCAATTGGAACATGTTAAGGGCAGCACTCTGTGCGTGCATGGGTATGGTTGTGTGCGTACTGCAACTTTCTAAGGGGAGAAGGAGTATCTGTCAAGCCTCTTGAGGGGGATTCCCCTGTGCTGTTGAGTCTTCAGAGGATAATTAACCTGCAACAGGCTGATGAAGTGAGAGACAACAAAATCAGCAGCCGCCCTTACAGTCCAACCAGTATTTTACTACAGTATGTATTTAAGTTTTAAGAGCTGCGTTGGCTGGTAGCCTATTAAGCTGTAGGATAAGATAGTTGATAACAGCTTTCTTCTAACTGCTGTCACCTCTGTCCTTTGCTGCAGTGTGCAGCAAGTTAAACCAAACCTTGCCTTCTCTTTGAAGGCTGCCGATAGGAGTAGCAGCGGGATCTTCTTCAATACAGAAGTTTCAGGCAATTCCAATGCCGGTCCTCAACTGTGAGGAAATCGGAGCGCTTTATTGCTTCAGAAGTGTTGTTAGTAGCACAAAGCAGCGTGGAAGAAAAAAACCCCAACTTTTGGCAGAATGGATCCTGCTGATGATTTATGTTGATCTGAACTGGAAAATCTGGTAGACAGCAAGCATGTATACAGCAGTCTTCAGACAGAGGCTTGTTACCTGTTCACCTCTGTGGTTGTAGTCACTGAACGTTGCATCCAGCACCTGACTAAACATTTCTTTCTTTCTTTACACCTAGGTTCCCAATGACTCCAGCTGTGTGGAAGACATATTACGGGTGAGTAATACCCTTTGCTTTTGTATCTTCTGTATAACTATAGTGCTGTTATTTCATCTTTCAGGGAGAAGAATTATATGGCTGTCTTTAGCACTGTAGGTAAATAATAACATTTTAGTGGGTCTGTATTAAAAGTACACAGGCAAGTGGTAGGCCCAGGATGCTCCTTAGTGAGTAAGGTTAATTCACCTCATACTCTGCATGTGTCAGCTCATCCCAGTCAGGATTTACACATGCTCCTGGGGTTTTTAAGCTCTTAATCTTTGTGAGTCTCTCCAGGACACATTTCTCTCCTACCCTGAGGTGGAGTCACCTTAATTTTCTCACTCATAGACTGACCTGGAGTCTTCCTCCTTCTTCCCCTAAACTGCAGTTGCTCATCATTCATGGTTTTGTTAAACACTCAGTTATTTCTTTTTCCAGGAGCTCTGGTCAGTGGTTTAATACAGAAAATTAAAACCATTCCAAACTGAGCATGGCTTAATTTCAACAAGATCATATAGTAAAGAGGACTGTGCACAAATCGTGTACATGTAAATCTGCATTACTTTAAGACAGACTTTTCCTCAGACACCCCAATTGTGACATCCCCTGTTGGCAGTGAGATTTGTCTGAGGTCAGGTTTGCCACCCAGCAGTCCCTGTCTGGAATTTAGGTTTTTGTCCTCATGGGTTGAGTCTCTCATCTGTCAGAGATACCTCCTTGGATTGCCAGCGAACTTCTTGGGTTTTGGTGTAGAGGGTATAAAATTTCAGTGGCAATTTGTGCTGGCCATGTTCTTACCACTAGGAGCAACTGATGCAGACCTGAAGTCATGTGTAACAATTGTGCCAACTTGCTTGCAAAGACAGGGACTTATTCTTGCTTATAAAATAAAATAGGCTTCTCAGGATCCATTGCAGTCCAGACTTAAATAGCTTGGGGAAACATGCTCCTGTTATGTGCACACACATTGTCTTGGGATGCTGTTGATGTCCTTACGAGTTACCAGTGTTGCTGCGGAAGTATGTTGAACCAACAGGCAAGCATGCGTGTGCAGACCTGCAGTACCAGAGGAGTGTGCATCCACATGTGCACCCAGGAGCAATAAATGCATGCTAATAAATAAAATCTAGTTTCAACCCTCAAAGTGAACAGGGGTTTACTACCTACAGAATGCTAAAGGAGCAGAAGCAAACAAAATGTTGCAAAGCTATTTGAAATACTTGGTACATTTTAAATGTCTTCTTCCCCTGTTTATATATTTCAGTTAGGTTCGTTACTATAGTTGGAATGAATGACTTGTTAGCTGGCGAAAGCAGTTGTCTTCAGTAAATAGCGTCAAAAGGAAATGTGATGTTGTGAATTTCAGGGATCAATCATCCAGATGACAGTTTTAATGTGGGAAGAGTGCATATAAATCACAGGAAGCAGAAATGTCCTTTTTCTAATCAAGAGGAGGTAATACTATTTCCTACCCCATGACTGCAGTTTGAGTCAACAGAGTCAGAATGTCTCAGGTTTTATTCTGAAACCTGCAGTGATCAGTGCAGGACTCTGCTGTCTTCGGAGGATGGGGATGAGCTGCAGAGTCCTGCATGACTGCAGGCTGTTAATCTTGGGGTGGACAGAGCAGGGATGTAGCAGGTTCTGTGTCTCTGGTGATCTGTCTCGCAAGAGCATGTAATGGGCACCTGGAAAAGGGGGATGAACCAGCAGATCTTTCTTGACTGCCGGGTGCAGGTGCCTGGAGGGGCACCCGCAGTGCCCAGCCTTGCCATCCAGCTGTGGAGCAAATCTGTCACCGCAGCCACAGGCGTAGCCAGAAGCGATGTTGAGTGCATGAGACCACATGTGCCGGGTACAGGGTTGGCACAGAGCTGGGAGTGTGGGACCTTGCCACATGCACAGCTAGGTATGAAAGCAGCAGATCACGGAACCGCTTCTGGGGCTGCCCATCAAAGGCCCTGCAAACCCCAGTCCCAACTGGTTTCCTTCAGTGGCAGCTAAATTAGACTTTCAACCTCGTACGGTGGTTGAAGCATACGTGGAAGTAGAAGTGCCTCACTTTTGTCAGTGATTTTGTTCTTCTCAAATTTATAATGCAGAATGAGCTAGTGGAAAATGTGTTTTGGCTGCATGCAGAGTGTCATATTCTACTTGGTAGGCAACGGAGAGAAAATAAAAGAATGTGATGCCCAGCAGTGGTCAAAATCCAGTCTTCAGGCTCCCCATGGAAGCTCTGTGTCAGGAGATTCAGGCTGTCTGCTCCAGGTGAAAGGATGACCCTCGGTTTCAGCAGCGATTTGTGCTTTGAGAATGTGGATTAAGTTCCTGGCTCTGACAGATCCTTTCTGGCCTTTTGGGGCCCTTCATGTAGGCTCTGAAGAGCCTTTGGGAGTGTGGCCCTCGGCTCCCCAATGGCAGTTTCCCCATGTAAAAACTAGGCTATTAACAATTCCATCCTGTCATAGATGTTGCAGAGATAAACAAGAGGGATTAACAGGTCCTGAAGGTAGACAGATGGGGCTGTAATAATGTGCATTTTGACCAACCAAACTCTTGACAACTGGCAAGTTCCACGTCCACTCCTGAGCTGTGCACCCCAAAGTGCAGGAGAAAAGGTGCTGCTGCCTGCCTTGCCCCAGCCCTGCCCATCTCCCTCGAGAGAGATCATTTCATGCCTTGAAGTTTGCTTTTTGTCTCTTTTTAAATCAGGGGATTAAGTGACTTAATTCATTTTCACCCCTCAGAAAGACACAGTAACTCTTGTAGGGTTTTTTCCTAGACTTTACAAGGAAGAGGTACCATGTTAAGATCTGTGACCTCTGATTTTACAGAGCTCTTTTTTCAAGCTGAATGTGATTAATAGGTTTTGTAATTGTAGAGGTTTGCAATTCCTAATCTCTTTTTCTTCTTTTTTTTTTTTTTTTTATTAGGGAAAAAAAAAAGTTTAATTGAGTTTATGGTCAAAAATTTCCAGCTGAGAGAGGGGAAAGGTCTTAAGTCCATTCAGACCCCTGGGTCTTCAGAGACAAAATTTCACAGTCCTTCAGATTTCCTGAAACACTTAGCCACTTATGTCATCTGGTGTAAATGCTTTAAGGACTGTTCTGATACTATAACCAAAGGTTAATGGCAGACTGGTCTCCTGTTGATTTTGGTTTCCTAACCAGGATGGCTGTGAAGGTTGATGATGATGATGATGATAATAATAATAATAAAAAATTAATCTCTCTTGTATAACTAAGGCCAAGCTGTAAAGGTAGTAAAGGAGATTTGCATTTCATAAAAGTTGCTAATAGCAAATTGAAAGATGAAAGTGAATACACGGGTGGTCAATACACTGTTTTCTGTTCCAAAATGTGGCTTATTTTTCAAGCTACCATAATGGCTTTGAAAGTGCGGGTAACGTGGAAGACAGGCACTCAACAGTGTATGAGTGTGTAATTCACATTTTATTAACATGGACTTAAATTACATTGTCACTTGCTATGTGCAGCCATTGAAAAATGAGTTTGTTGAAACATTGTGATACAAAGTGAGAATGGGGCAGTAGAAGTGACATTTTAAACCAGTGTTTTGATGCTGTTACTTGTGCTACTGGTACCAGTGCTCCATCAGCATTCCCTGCTGTCATGGCATGTTATGTGACATGTTGTGCTGGTCCCAGTATAGAGCTGTGTGTCGGTGCAAACCAGCAGCCATCCTGTTTCTACCTAGAATGATCACAGGAGGGACCTCCCGTCACATTGGTTTACTGCTGGGCAGAGAGGTGATAAGCATACAACATTACACGAGAAAGGAAGGAAATCTTATTTAACTAAATGTTCTTGAGGACTTGCGGTGTAAATTGAAACTTTGGGCTAGGTGTTTAGGCAATTGATTAGATGTAATCCTGCAGCAGTGAGGCTCTGGTCTGTACACATAAAGCTTTCGTGTCTGTGTTGCTAACCATCTGGGCAGGCACTGCTGTCTAAAAATCTGTCCCTGCTTGAAGGAACAAAAGAATTCTTGTAGGTACATATACACTGTAGTAAGCCATCAAGTAACTAGATGGACTTCTGATGTTATGTGGACAGCTGTGATATTAATTAAAAGCCTTCTAGTCTGGAAGCAAAACAAATACTAAATATAATTCAGATTGTAATTAGTATAAAATGACTGGAGTTAAATGAGTGAAGTCTATAATTTGTGTAGTCTTCTATTCTTCTGATGACTAGCTAATATCTAATGACATTGGAGAATATGTAAATTGATCAGCAAGTGAAGATGCCCTTGACTGGGCAAATTATGTGTAGTAGTATTACCTTCTTCATGCCAATTGAAAACACTAAAGGATTTAATGTGTGTCATCTATAGCTGAGGTGAGCTGTTCACAGAGCAAAATTAGACTGTAACAGATACAGGCTGTTATTTGCCTCTCAGGAATTGTTTTCTCTTCTAAAATACAAACCAACATTGAAGAACAGTGCTAAACCTAAGTATAATAACTGTAATTTGAAAAACACAGGTACGCTGTCCAGTGTCGTTACAGATGTGTTTAGTAGCTGATGGGCAGTTTAAATATTTTTGTGTGGAATCTGGGGGCTTGCTGAGGAGGACATGATGTGAATTCCAAATGATTATCCAGACGTCATTGGACAAGTGAATAACGAGCTGACTGGCCTAGTAAATCATGTGAACCTGTCAACTGTGGGAACACGTTGGGGAGGAGATGATGTCAAGTAACAGTAACTTAGCAACCTGGCATTTAGCTGTCCAGAGAATGAGTAAGAGTAGCCACTTTTAAATAGCTGAGTAAATAAATGAATCCCTATACATCTTAGGTGTGCTATAAAAATAGCCCAGCACTGTATGTTTTCTGTCAAGCTGCTTCTTTCTCCAGGATAAGGTGATTTATTATTTCTACTGAAATGAAAAAATGGATTGAAAAGTTAACCCATGTGTAAATGTGCATCTGCGGCCTTTGTCCCTCGCCTGGTGTGCAGCCTTTGGAAGCGTGTAAGGAACGGGTAATA